GGGGGGGGGGGGGGGGGGGGGGGGGGGGGGGGGGGGGGGGGGGGTGGCAGTCTGGAGTTCATCTGTCAGCAGGCCAGGGCTCTGGCGGGCAGCCAGGAGGCTGTTCATTTGTAGGCCAGAGCTCTGGCAGGTGGCCAGAAGACTGTCCCTTTATGGACAGCAGTTGTGTCCACCTGTACCCAATTGGACTCGGACAGAAGGGAAAGGATAACCCCAGGAAGGCCGTGGAGACCAGTGGAGAGGCCACTAGAAGGCTGCAACTGCAGGCGACGAGGCCAAAGGAGAGGCCACTGGAGAGGCCATGGCTCTAGGCGAATAGATCACTGGGGTGGTTGTGGCTGCAGGTGAACCAATGATGTGGACCACAACAGGCGGACCAGCAGTGAGAGCCACAGCAGGCAGACCAGCGGTGAGAGCCTTGGCCGGAGGCCCAGTGGTGAGAACCATGACAGGAGGACCAGCTGTGATAGCCTTGGCTGGAGGCCCAGTGGTGAGAGCCTTGGCCGGAGGCCCAGTGGTGAGAGTCACAGCAGGAGGACCAGTGGTGAGAGCCTTGGCCGGAGACCCAGTGGTGAGAACCATGACAGGAGGACCAGCTGTGATAGCCTTGGCTGGAGGCCCAGTGGTGAGAGCCTTGGCCGGAGGCCCAGTGGTGAGAGTCACAGCAGGAGGACCAGTGGTGAGAGCCTTGGCAGGAGGACCAGTGGTGAGAGCCACGGCAGGAGGACCAGCAATGTGAGCCTTGGCAGGAGAACAGTCCATTGAAGGGACTGCAGTTATGGATGGGCCCTGCGGCTCTGTATCTGTGGATGGACGCATCAGTTCTGCTTTTGTAGATGGAAGGGCCACAGAGGCTGCAGCAGGAGTGGAGGCCAAGGAGGCTGCAGCCTATATAGGAGCCCCGGAGTTGACTGCCTACGAGTTGGCCCAAAAGGGTGCAGCTGACGTGGAGAGAGATGGGTCTGCGGCTGATGGTGTGAAGTGGAGATTTGCAGGTGGTGAGTTAGGGGAAGAACCAGGCTGAGCAGAGACCGGCGAGTGCAGCATGAGCCTCCCCGTCCACTTCTGGAACTGCTCCCAAGTCACCAGTGGCTTGTTTGAATTATCAGCCCTGGTGTATTTGCTGATAAAGTCCTCCACAGCAATCATCCTCTCCCAGAGATCGCTGGGGCTGTGAGGTTAGTCCCCCCCCCCCCCCCCCCCCAACAGTGGGGATGCAGGAGCATGTGTTGTCCTTCCCCCCCACCAAAAGGGATGCATGAGCGAGGATTCGGCTGGTCTTCTGTCCAGCACAGTATACAGGTCCTTCTCAAAAAATTAGCATATTGTGATAAAGGTCATTATTTTCCATAATGTAATTATAAAAATTAAACTTTCATATATTTCAGATTCATTGCACACCAACTGAAATATTTCAGGTCTTTAATTGTTTTAATACTGATGATTATGGCATACAGCTCATGAAAACCCAAAATGCCTGTCCCAAAAAATTAGCATATTTCATCCCACCAATGAAAGACAAGTGTTTTTAATACAAAA